GAGCCGAACACGAGCCCAGCCTGAGACCATACACAGGCGCTTTAACTCGGCTCGTTTATAGCCCTACTTATAAATGCTAAAAGTAAAATTAATGGGGCATTTCACTTTAATTAATTAGGTGTCTTTGCTTCATAGGGGCTTTTGTAAATGAATTTGATTGGGGATTAAGTCGATTGCTTCCTCAAAACTATGGCATACATGAGGAATTTGTTATTTGATTGGGAGCTCAAGAGATGAAGCAACAGTGAGAATAAAGACTTGATTTGTGCGATCCTCTATCAATTAAAAGTTGTATGTGATTTTTAATGTGCTTTTAATTGACTAGATGCATTTTGATTTAACATTGTTCTAAAAAAGGATCATAGGAAAATTGATTGTCTGCTCGAAAAGAGCATTAGTTCATGATCCGAGGGCTGCAGATGGATCGAGTCGAGTTTAGGCTCGAGCTTTTTTTTATAAAATTCGGGCTTGAGCCAAACTCAAGCTCCAGTCAAGCTTTTTGGCAATGTTCAAGCTCGAGCTTGTTTTAAAAAATTGAGCTCAAACCAAGTTCGAACTCAAATCAATCGCAAATCGAGCATTTATGTTCATATTCGAACTTAGTTCATTTGTCATCTTGTCTGATTGAGTTTGATTCATATTTATTTTAAATAATGATAATCAAGTCGTAATCAGTTAGAGTAATGAGGAGTATTATCAAGCTACTTAATTTTTATATAAATGATCTTTATTTAGCAATTTAAAACTAGCGTCATCTTGCTATTATCTTCAAACCAAATGAGGCTTATCGAACAAACCATTGAGTAGTATGACTGACCTATTTATTTTCTTATTAAATGAGGGTTAACAAGCATATAAATAAGTTATTTGTATAAAAACAAATGAGCTTTTAAATGAATGATCTACTAAATGAATAATTAAAATAAACATATACGTACATACAACAACTGTACAACTAAAAAAATATGTCTTTAACTTGTTTTATGTATTATAAATTAAATTTTTATTTGATTTAATATAAATGAGTTTTTAAATTAGTTTTTAATTTCGTTTTAATCTACTCAAGTGTTTTAAATTAAATTTTAACTGATTTTATTCATAAGAGTTAAATCAATTTTATTTCATGAGTTTATTCATGAACTTTAAATGAAATTGTCGGTCGATCTTGTTAACGAGTTTGTTCGTGAGCATTAAATGATATTATTTGTGATGAACAATCCGACGTCATCTGGGTATTTATAAAATTGTTTAAACTCGTTAAATTAGTTAATAAAGCGAACATGAATGAGCTCTTATCAATGCAAGGTACGGTTAGCTAATCAAATGCTCGGTTCATTTGCAGCCCTAAGAGTGGGTACTTGCCATTTGAACATTCCGCATTTAGATTTGCAGTGATGCCACACATCCTTCACAACCCTATTGAATTTTTGCATCATAATGAATATGAGATCTAATTTAGGTGCTTAATTTTATTATGTAGGTCTCTATTAAAAGAGGTTCCACCAAAGTTAGCATAACTTGGCAAATTCTCCATTTGATTATATATTTTAATTTGTTGGAATCCTTGAATACATAAAAAATAAAAAAAAATCATTGGCAGAGGATAAATTTTTATTCAAATAAAGGATTATATTTTAAGAATGATTTGACTACTTTTTGGGCATGATTTGCTTAGATTTAAACCATTATGATATTAGATAATCAATTAAAGAACTAGCTTATAAGGAGTCCAAAGGAACCCTATTTGTGCTAAAAATAATGGATCAAATGAGTTGAGATAATATAAAAGAAAATAAGACTCCTATTCACAATGAAAAATTTTACATTATAAATTTCATGTATTTTTAATAGTTTACACCTAACCACTCAACACGTAAGGTAAGTATCATCTCATCTTAGGATCACAATTCTCACAAGTTAACGCCCTAACTGAGTCGACAAATCATGCTCGTTGATCAGCAATTGTTCGAGAGAAGTACACTCAATTGTGTTTATGGGTACTTCTAGCAAGTGCTCTTTACAAGTGGAAGAGTAATTCTTTCGGTCTAATTCAATGATTTGATTTTGAGAATTATGTTGAGATTATTGATACGTAGTTTGATGATTATGGCTTTATATGTAGATTAATAAAAAAGTTAAGTACTTATTGAGTTATGACTTACGAGCAGGGGTGGAACCCGTTTATGTCCCTGATGGACAATTAACCCCCCTAAAATTTTAGAACTCTTTATAAAAAGAGTAAAAATTAATATTTTTTTTCTTATAAAGTTTGGGCAATTTAATAATTTTTCTCTCTCAATATATATTTTTTCCCAACACTTAGAAAAAAAAAAGATATTTTTGTAATTTTGTTCGCCCTAAGAAATAATGCTGGTTTAGCCCTTGCTTACAAGTAATGTCGATCCATCTTACGACGATTTCTTTGATTTTGTATAAACCCAAATATTGGCTTGATTAATCAATTTAAATAAAGTGTATATGAACTTAGGAAGTATTTAAATTGCATTTCTTACCTAACCCATTCATATATGAATATTGAAATTACAAATGTAACCTCCGTTTATTATTATTTATTTGTTTGTACCTTAAGAAATTATCACACTTAAGAAAATTGTCATCAAAACGAATTAGTAAAACGTTTCTTGCACGGCAAAGACATCCAAGTCAAAAGAGGCTACATGGATGGTCAAAACTGTTGGGCATGAATGTATTTATTTATTGTTAGTATTGTTTTTAATAAGCCATATAACCTAACAAATTAAGTGGTTGGATTGAGCTCAGCTACTGAGTAGTCAAATTGAGCCCACCTGTTTAAGTGGTCCAACTGAGTGCACCTGTTGAAGTGAGCCCACATGTTTAAGTGGTCAACTGAGTCCACCTACCAAAATGGTAAAACTGAGCCCACCTACTGAAATGGTCGAATTGAACCCACATGTCGAAGTGCTCAAGCTAAGAGCACATATCAAAGTGGTCAAACTGAGTCAAACTACTGATATGGTCGAACCAACTCTAACCACCTGGGAAGACTATCAGTATAAACATGAACATGTGTCAGTCCTCTCTTACGATGTCGGTCGACACACAAATCTTAATTTTTTGCACCAAAACACTGCATGCAACTGTTGTATCATATTGAATGTGATTTTAAATTACTTTACTCTCTCTCTTTCTCTCTCGACACGCGCGCGCACACACTCACGCGCGCACGCGCAAGGGAAGTAGAGTTCATTTCATCAACTTTTTCTACATCTTGCTCTTATGTACAAGGTCTTTAAGTGAGAGTATGAATTGATCACAAATAATATGTGACCCAACATTCTAAAAGGATTTAACAAATATAAAAAAATATGAAATTTTATTTTTAAACTCTCTTATTTTAGTCGATTTAGACATAAAATTTTAATTTTAATTTTAATTTTTGATATAGTATAAATTTGGGATAATTTCTAACTATATAATGTGAGTTTATTTAGCCATTCCTGTGATTATATATTTATTTCGATTAGAACTTATTGCTTTAAATAAATTATTTAACGGGAAAAAATGGGATTAAATCAATGAAAATTAATAAGAAGTAATTGGGTCAGAGACTGAGAAAGCGGCTTATTGGTGGGCCCAGGTTAAATATTTTCTTTATATATATATTAGTTGAAATCAAAATGGAGAATTCAAACGCTTGTCCTGCTTAAAAAAATAATATATATATATAAAGAAATGTGCGGAGACTATTTTTCGAGCCGCGGTCATCCCTCACACGCCTAAGAATTCGAGTCCACACTCTATGCTCCCCAGACCAGAAATGATTTACAACTGACAAATAGATGTCCAACAAATTGATCTGAGTATGTGATGCATATATATATTTTGTT